GGGCTGGGCGGGTGGGTCCGGCTTCGGAGGGAGAAGGACTTTCTGCGCGACGGAGCGAGATGCATTTCCCCGGGCTTCGGTTGCGTGCCTGCCAGCGCTGCTGCGTGCTGGCAAAGCGGGTAACCCCGCTGCAGCAAACGCTCCGGGGAGCCACGCCGGACAGACAGGCAGGGACGCGAGTCCCAGGACGTTATTTCCACCCGGGATCTAAGGAAAAGAAGAGGCTTCGCCCCGCGACGGCGGTTCCTCGGGGGCGGAGGGCCCGCCGCAGCCCCCGCCCGGACCGTGGGTGGCGGTGCTGGCCCCCTGCCCGCGGGGGCGGCCGGGGACCCCCCCCCGGCAAGCCCGGGACCTCGGTGGCGGAGAAGGGATGGGGGGGGCAGGGGCCTGGGTTCCTGGCTGCGTCCCGGGAAAGCCGGTAATTCCTCCCGCAGGGAGCAGGTAGATCTTTAAAAAAAAAAAAAAAAAAAAAAAAAAAAAACCAAACAACAAACAACCAAAAAAACCCTAATCTGAGCAAAATGAAAACGGTAATTGCCTGCTAACGTTAGGAGCTTCCCGGAGGAGGGACTTCAGCAAGGCTGCCAGGAGGATTTAGTAGCCGGATCCACGACAAACAACGCTGACATAAACTCTGCTCGGGGAGGTAAATACAGGACAGCTCGGGTTTCTGTAGGAGAATAGCACGGGAGGCTTGTGCCCCAGGGAAAAAAGAAAAAAACAAAAAAACAACCAAAAATAAAACTATCGTAAGGCAGCAGGAACGATTTCCAGAGTGAGCAGTAATTACAAATCCAGCGGCACCGACGCGTGACATTAAATATTTCTGTGCAAAACCCCAAGACAGCTCGGAAAAGCACCAATATCCCCGGGTGATGAACGCTATTTGAGCGGGGATCCAAACACCCGCCCTGGAGCCTGTTCCCCCGTTTCGGAGGTGGTTGCAGGCGCATCTAGAGCAGCTGCAGCCCAGGCGAGGTAACACGGCCTTTTTTAAGTCAGACCTAGCAAATCTCTCCCCCCCTCTGAAAGGCGATTTCTGCAGCGGGGCAGCGGTCCCGGGAGCCCGAGGGTCCCTGGTGGGAGCGGGCCTGGCCCTCGCAGGTCCCCCCGGGTCCTTACAGCACAGCCAACGAAGGGAAGTTTTGGGGGCTTTTTATCTTGGTTGTTTTTTTGTTTTTTGTTTTTTGTTTTTTTTTAATCTAGAAAACCCCACGCCGAGCAGTGAGTCCGCTCCCAGATTTCTAAAGCGCTTCTGCTTCAAATCGCAGCCGGGAGCCGCAGGCTGCTCCTGCTATTCCACTTCTCCCGAAATGCCCCGATACTTCGGGGGGAGGTTGTGGGTATTTTTGGTCAGAACCCATCAAAAGGACGGTCGCCGGGAATTCGTCCCAAGATCCCGGGAACTGCCTTTGCCTTTCCCGCCGGCGCTGGCTTCTGTCGCGTCTAAGCAGCCGCGGAGCTTTTAGCAGCTCTGCGAACAGGGGCATGAAAGGGATGTCCCGGTAGGGCAATGAGGCATGAAATCCCGCTGTTCCTTTACGTAGCAGCAACATCCAAATGAAAGAGCAAACACCCGACGTGCCACCAAATATAATTGCATAGATGGAGGGTATTAGCGGGGAAAAAAAAAAAAAAAGAGCTGGCGCCCGTTTCTCTTTCGCCACGGCCCTTTCTCGCACGCAGTCCCGCAAAAGAACCCCACCTGTACCTTCAGCAGGATTGAACCGAGCGGAAAACTGAGTCACTGGCACCCGTGGGCTGCTAAAATAGAAGGCGGCCGGGGCAAACGCGGCCCCGGTGCTGCCGAGCGGAGCCCCGCCGGGAAGGTGCCGGCTCCCCCCGCCGAGCTCGCTGCCTGCCCCGAAAGAAAAGCCGGAGCCATCTCTCCCTCCAGCTCTTTTTCTCCTCCTTTCCCGACCCACCGGTTCCTCCACCTCCCCGGACCGGCACAGCACCGGTGACCGTCGCCTCTTCGGAAACCCGGCGAGATGAGGGGCACGGCGGCCCCGACGCCACGGTGAGGGTCGCGGGGCCACGCCGCCCCGACCCGGGGAGAGGACAAAAAAAAAAAACCCAAACAAAACTCCTCGCCGCTTCATCGTTTTGCGGCGACGCCGGTCGTCGCATCCCGATTTTCTCTCCGGCAGGTGCTGCCCCCGCCGCAGCCCCGTTCCCCGGTGCCCGGCCCCGGCTCCCTCGGCCAGCCTGGCGGCAGCAGGGACGGGAGAAAAATGTCCCCAGAAAGGGGACGGAGGCGGGGGGAGAGGCACCGAAGGTGAGGGATTGCGTTTCTGCGGAGAACGTAGCCCTCCGAGTGGATGTATTTTGTCAGGAATCCGGAATTAGAACACGCAAGACAAACAAACGGGGAGGGGGGGAATCCCGGACAAAAGCAAAATAAAACCCGCCTGCTACAGATCCTCCGGTAACCGAGCCGCTAAGCTTCCTCCGAGTCCTTTCCAGCCGGGATTATCGCCGTGCTTTGGCTCCCGGCCCTGCGAGTGCCCGCTGCCCCACGGCGCGCCCGTGGGAGCCCGGCGGGACGGGACGGCGGGGGCCGCTCGCACGGCCGGGCCGGCACTTACACCTTTCCCGGGATTTGCACCCTTCCCGGGATTTGCACCTTTCCCGGGATGTATTTACACAACCCTCAACCCCGCGCTTGCGTGCCCTGCGAGACGCCCCGCGGCACCCCACGGGCGGCGGCCAGGTCTACCCAGCACCGCCAAGGGGTTTGCAGGACGGGGCGGGGGGGCTGATCCAGCTCGGGGCTTAGGGACCAGGAGCAGCAAGGACCCCCCCCCAGAAAGCCGAGTGGGATAGCGGGGAGTGGGAGGGCTAGGAGCCAGGCGCATCTGCCCCCGCTCCGCTCCCCGCCT